TCGGTAACTTTAGCCTCAATTTAGTCTCGCAGAAGAAGAGTTTGGGAAATGAAGCCTCGATTAGCAGGGATGGGGTGGCAGGGTTCGAGTGAAATACTTGAACCGGGGGGAGACTGATAAGACCAAGGGAAGAATGGCTGGGCAACAATATGGCAGACTGATCAGCATTCCCAGCACAAAAGTGAGGGATGACGAGAACGCTAGTATGGAGTGTGGAGGGTTCTCATGAAAGCCGCTCAAAAGAGCACACCATACCACATTTAAATTAGCACGGAGAAAAAAAGGTGACAGTAAAGGCGTGATACGAGGATATAGGAAAGATGAATTGCCAATGACATAAGGAGAGATACCACAAGTGATTAGCACACGTTTGTTCAAAATATCGGCTTCACTTGTCTCTGACGATTTGTAGTATGGTGCTAAGAATGGCAAGACTCACGGACGATACCGGCGAAGCTTCTGGGATTGTACCACGTCCACCCTCCGATTTTGGAAATTGTCATGAATGCAATGGACTCTGGGCTAGGTGCGTTCCTCTTAGTCTTGCTATCAATATAACCAAGTTGCGAAAACAAGGTCAAACAATTTCCAAACCTTATTAAGTTGCCACTTGTCAATACTAACAATTTTCAGACGATGCCTCTTTAAAATACGGACACCCAAATGTGCTGTATGTTGTTTGCCGGCTTGTGGAGTCAATAGCACTTCTTATTTTGCGAAACATTGTGGTTTAGCCCACAGAAGCTAAGCCTTAATGACTATTGGCAAAACTATTTTTAGTCTGATCTGTTTGCAAATCGATCATACTATAGACAATCTTCTCATGGTATGGGTTTTATAACTAACTGTTTAATAAATATGATTATTTAACAATTCATGACTTCTAAAATCCTATGGCTTTGCTATTCCTATAGAATAAGTGCGTGTAATGGGCTTTGAACCCTATGTTTTTCACATTAGAAGCATATACAGTACTTCCAGTTGGCTGGTATAGTATTTTTGGCAATCAAGCTTTTCAAACTGTTTTGTTCCAGTCATAGCTCTGCATATTCCGCCGTTTCATTTTCATCTACTTCTATTTTACTTGTGCTTATCCAAATGGATACTGGCATTTATAGTTATTTCTGCATTATCTCTAGACCACACTTTCCATGCAATCTAAGTCATTCTTCTCTTCAAGTTAATCCGTCATTTACGCCATCTATTCTGAATCATAGTTTTTCGACACTCAAAGTCACCCACTGGTAAGCCGCCTTTTTGAACACCTTGCTAGATTCCCTACATCTCTTGGTTTGCCGTTGTGCTTAAATTCGAGCTCATGTTAGGTATATTTTGGAATCCAGAAAATCTTTTTGTGTGCTTCGCCTTCAATTTATCTGTATACTCAATTTTCTGTCTTCTTTTCAGACGCAACTCTCTTATCGGCATGTCCCCGACCTCCTCTTCTGGTCATTTCGATGCGCCCACAGCCAACGGGCTTTCTGCTAGTAGCATACAGCCATCGCTCATTTCGTCGGTTACAAATGCGGAAAACACGACTATTGAGGCTACTACTATCTCACCCATTGTTACGGCATCCACCACCTCCACGTCAAGTGCTGCAGAGGCCAGTAACTTCCTCGTAGATTCCATACCTAACGCCAGTATTGACGATCAGCTCGCTGGCCAAGAAGGACTTTTTCTGCTTAATGGGGCGCATTGGGTGGGAAATCACAAGTGAGAAATTATTATAGGATGGAAGATTCAAGGATTTTTACATCCAATTCTGAAACTAATATGCCTATTCAACTACCATCACTTCATATTACCTCTAGGGAGAATCGACCGCTTAATTTAATACAAACGATTTTAAAACATATCGTACAATCGAATTATCATTTGGATGGAAGTTGTTTGACCTTGTTTTCGTAACTTGGTCATATTGGTAGAAACGCACATAGTCCGGAATCCATTTTATGTAGGATCATTTCCAAAGTCGGATCTTGGACTTGGTACATTCCCAGACGTTTCGCCGGCTTCGTAGTCGGCATCGTCAGTGAGTCTTGCCATTCTTAGCACCACATTACACTTCGTCAAAGAGTCAAGTGAAGTGAATTGTTTGACCAATTGTCTGCTGAACAGTTGTGGTATCTCTTATATCCTTGTGTATTTACTATGTTCTCGTAACACCCTTTCACTATCTAAACCTAGCTTGAGTGTACCCTTTTGAGCTGATTTAATGTGACATATTTAGACTCCCCACTAATTCTCTCATACTCCGACTTTGCTGGGATTTTGGGCTTAAGTCTGTCTTTTTATAAACATATCTCATATATCTGTCCTTTTAGTCCGTATTCCACTTTCTCAGGGTCCTATCAAACTTCCTCTCTTTCTCCGCATTATCCGTCTCTTATCGCCTTGGTTGAGTGACTCGATCAGCTCCACCATATCCGCGCCACTCTAAACGTTATTTTCCATACTCTCCCTCAATCCCTTCACAGAAGGAGAGATAATACAACTGTTTATCAGACACTTGGTCAAACGATCGACTTAACTTGTCTCTTAGACGAATTGTAGAGTGGTGCTAAGACTGATACGGCCTACTGATGATGCCGGTGAGACGTCTGGGAATGTTCCAAGTCCATGGTTCTACTCTGGAAATGATTATAAATGCTTTGGACTCCGAAAAAAGTTCATTTCTCTAGATCTTCCTGGCAATACGACCAAACTGCGCAACCTAATTTAAACGCCCTCTATAGCACGAAAGGAGACCGCGACCATATTAAAGGCTACACCATCTTGGTCTTACTACCTTCGTTCATTTGAATGATTTATCTTCAACTTTCTAGAATTGGATCCTTTATAAAATAGGCTGCTTCTTCTATCTTAAATTATTTTGAAATAAAGTT